AAGTTTGTATGCCAATTTGATTATTTCAACTATTTCAAGCCATTCATCTATTAATAGTTGACAGTTTGTAATCACAAGCTTCTTTGTCAATCTCTTTCAGTTAATGATCAATCACGATTTGAACAATTACTTTTAAGAATGATTGTTTCTAATGCAATGCCTTTTATATTTGTTGAGAATGAAGATACTATTTCTGTATTTGAGTTTTTAGTACCAGAAATTAAATTACCCAAGCACAAAGTTATAGGTGACAAAGTATTAATGAAAAGCACATAATTGTTAAAAGACAATATAATCAAAATTGCTAAGAATGATAAAGATGAGGTAACTGCAACATTTAACACTAGACAAATGTAAAACAAAAACATATTTGAGATGTGGTTTTTATAACTACAAATTGACAATCTTTAATATAGGGTGTATATGATATTAGTTCTGAAAAATCACAAATACAAAATATAATCAATCACATTGAATAATTAATGACTGAAAATGAAGAGAAATGAATAAATATCAAGGTATTTGTTTCAGATTCTGCTAGTGAATATATAGCTGTACAGTAAAGTTTTATTTAATAATAATATTTTTTTTAGAATCATTTTAGTAATAATTTTTTTTTTATCTTTATAGCTAGCAATTACAAAAAAAGTATCTTTTGAAGATTTTTTTACCGTATATAACCTATTAAATTAATTTAGTATTTGGTAAAATTTTCAAAGAATCACATCAATATAAAAGGATATTCAAAGAAGCAATAAGAATTGTATCTTTTTTTCACAAGTCACCTTTTTTTTTAGGCAATCTTAGAGATGAACAGATACGTATTTATAAAAAACCTATTGCATTAGTTGTGCCTAGAGATACAAGGTGGAATTCATACTATTTTTGTTTTTATTCTATTTCTAAATTAAAATTCGTATTTAAGATATGTAATACTGCATTATTATATAATTTATGATCATGTATCTGGATTAGTATTTTAATTCAAATTTATTTCTTTTTATTAGTTTTTCTCATCCAAGTTTAATGACTATCATAGCAATGTAATTCAAACTGATAGTATCTCATCTGAGCTAACTAATAACCAAACTACTCTATGCAATAGTACTCAACAACTTCCTGATGATATCACCAATATTATAAATAATACATAGTTTTGAATAAAATTAGCTAATCTACAAGAACTTTTATATCCTCTTTGTGGCTTTTTGAATAAAATACAAAAAGATACAGCTCGATTATATGAAGTTTTTCACTGTTTTAGGTATATTATGAAAATATTCAAATATCATGAAGATTTTGAATTCAGAGCAAGAATAAGAGTACACATTGAATCTCACTAGAATGAATGGGAGCAACTACTAATAATTCTTTCTTTTGTACTATATCCTGAATACAAACTTACTAAATTCAATAGCATAGTTGCTGATCTATCTTGAACACATATTGAACAATAGCTTAAATATTATTATGAGGTATAGTTTAATTGTAAACCCATATCTATCTTAGCTGAATTAATAAAATACAAACATAGAATCGATCTGTATGATGCAAAATCATTTAAACAATTTAATAGAAATTTAGTAGATTTTTGGGAGTCAACTGAAGGAGTAGGTCTAGAATTAGCATGAGTAGCAATCTGTATTTATAGCATTTGCATTAACTCTGTATCTGTAGAGCATTTATAGTTTTCTATAAGATTATTACATACTAATCGTTGAGTCTAGTTGAAGGTTTGTTTATTAATAATTTATTTTTATTATAATTATTATAAACTAATACTGATATTTATCATAACCAAATAATAGCAAAAAAAAGTCTTAGCAATGAGCCAAATTTAGAGTGATATCCTTTGATCTTGTAAAATAAAGAATGCAAAAGAATATAATAACCAAGTTCACTGATTATATACTATGAAACCTATATTGTCAGATGATGAAATCTCTGAGCAAGAATTAATAATCACTGATTTGGATTATCAAGTAAGTAGTGATGACAAAGATAATATTGAGGAGGAGACAACTACTAGATCTTGTAATTAGACAAATCAAAATTTTAAACATTCAGTTATAGAAGAAAAAGAAATATAAGAAAATCTAATTAATAAATGAATTAAGTTTAGAGATTGTGAAAACTAATTTGAAAACAAGGATGATGAAATTTTATTGTCAAGTGATTAGAATACAGATTTTAGTTTAGAGGGACGAGAAAAACATCTTGCTGATGATGAAATAGCCAAATAGCCTTTAGATTCACTTTTCGTTTCTTCTTTAGAAATGTTAGTATATTTCAATTCAGAACTTGCTAACTTTTAATAGACAAAATATTCTTTTATTAAAAACCTCCTCTCCTCATATTAGTAGAATTGAATCAAAAAAGACAGATATAAGACATTCAATAATATGCTAAATTAAAGTTGAAATGATAAGCATAAAGCATTCATTAATATGCAAAAATTGGAAATGCTAATAGAATTAGATAAGTGTAAAGCATTAATTAATCTGCTGCAATAGGAATTGCTAAAATTGGAGTTGAAAAATATGAAAATACTTAGGAATTAGGTCAAAAAAGATAAGTATAAGCATTCATTAATCTGCTAAAACAAGAGACACCAGTGAAAATATCAAGTATTCATTATTTGCTAAAATTGAGAAAATTCTGTTAAATTAGTGCTAAAAAAAAAAAAATAAAATAAAATAAAATAAAAATAAGACATTCATTATTAAACTCTGTTGAAATATGAAAGTTAAATGGAATTAGAACCAAAAAAAATGTATATAATATATCTATTAATTAGTCATAATGAGAAGTATCAGTAGAATTAGAGCTAGCAAAGATGAATATAAGGTTCTTAGTAATTTGTTAAGACTAGAAACGCAGTAGAATCAGAATCTATGAGTATAGAACATTCATTAATTTGTTGAAATAGAAATACTAGTCGAGTTGGTATTAAAAAAAAATGAACATAATAAAATATTAATTAGCATTTTTATAAAATATATAGCTTACTTTATATTATGAATTTTAATTATTAATATATATATGTATATATATATGTTATTGGAATCTACTTAGGTTGAAAGGAATTTAATTAAAGTCAATATAAATTTAAAAGCAACCTAAGTTGATTCTAAATTTGATACTGTAATAGATATATAATTGTTTTATATAGTTTTTATTTTTATTTATTCATTTTTTATTTTACTTATTTATTTTTGATGACTCTTTCTA